TTGACGGTTGTTTGAAGCCTTTTTTTTAATTTGGAAACACCGATTCACGCAGTTTCTTCACCTTCATTGATTTCACTATTTTCGATCTTGTCTTCCATTTTTCATCATAATCTTGATTACCCGAAATTATCGTGAAATGTGCCTTTAAACTATGTGAATCCGAAGTTTACGGGTGATATCTCACTATTGTCGGGGATAAGTTAATCGTTAACCGTAATCGTTAATCGTTTGAGGTGGTGTAGTGCCAAGTGGTGCACTATCACACGCACAGTCCGGCGACTGAATTCTGGGTTGCTACCGCTCAACCAATCAAGCCTTTCATTCCACGGGGGTCGGTTATTGAGTCTCAGACTCGCCTGAGAGAATCAAAGCGTGGGCCTGTACGTCGGCTGATTATCGCAAGACATTGTATAGACTAGATACCCATTCAAACGTCAACGATTCTGAGCGGAGGTCGAATACACCGGCGTATTCCAGAACGTGATTGACCAATGCAATCCCTCACGCTTCCAATAGAAAAGATTCCCGAGTAGCTGGTTGACGTTGGTTGAAACAAATGGAAAGCCCATTGCGGAATTCGCTGTGTGGTCTCATATAGCCACTTGAAGAGCGCGTTCTCGTGGAATTATATTCACCAATGTTGCTTGGTAGCTGCAACCTGCAATCATTGGATTATTTTCAAAAGGCTTGGCATACCCTGAGGATCAGGTCCTACAAACACTTTTATTCTTCCTCCCTCCCACATGAAGACACCTTTGAGCCAAAGCTGAACGATCGCGGAAAACCTCATAGGAGAGGAGTGTGAGACTATCCTTCGTAACGACACCTTTGATCTAACTAGGATCTAGCATGGATTTCAACTCGAAAAATGGTAAGGGTAAGACGATCAGCTGTTTTCAGAGCGACATTCTGTTTTCACGATATTGTTCCCCAGATTAATAAAAACTGGCAACAGACCAAGTAGTCAATCCACTAGCAGACCCCGTTCCTTCAGAATGGGCTCGACTGCTTGCCTACTCCACAAATTCTTACCATTCACTTGAATCCATGGTAAGGGAAAAAACTAGCTTATATCTAAAACCACCACTGAATTATTCTAAAGATTGAATCCCCATCTGAACCTTCAATTTCCCTAAAAAACAATTTTCTATTGGAGACAAGCGTTTCTTAGGCTACATAAAAGAGCAAGTTAGTCAGCCTACAGGGAAAGCTTTGATGAAGGTCTGATTTTTATCAATTAAACATTCAAAATAAGAGACAAAAAATCTTACCAACGTGGACCCAGAGGCGTGTGCGTGATCAAGCTGTAAAAATGAAGTCAACAACCCGTAAACCAGTACTTATTCCAGAACTAATTTAACACCGTTGCCACACTTTTCCTTGTTTATCCTTGACTCATTTCCCTGCAAATTACACACAAACCTATACACAATATTTTATTCACAAAGTGGTAAAAACGTAACAATAAAACGAGAATATCACAGACTTACGCGTAATACTAATACAATTCTAAAGCAGTGACAAATTGACAAGATATGATTAGCATTCCCCATAAACACAAATATATGAGCCTTCAGAATGAAATTCATATAATTTTCCTCTTCCTCAGGTCATCCTGAGCTTCTTTGATTTCCTGCATCAACTCCTCTTTAGCTCCGGGGCAATCATTAAAAGTCGCGACACCATATATTACTGATGTTAAGGCGTAGATCTGTATAAAGAAGAATTTGAAATTGATGACCAGACTGTTCCCAGCTGGTAATGATTCTTTTGCCAAGAAAATATGAATAATAGGGAATATCACCAAGAAACATCGAATAACTTTGAAAACAGCTGATTAACTTGACTATAGACCTTATTCCCACACCTCCCGAAGTCATAAGGATCGCATCGTCGCGGCTAAGGTAACACTGGGAAACTACAGTGGCCTGAAGCATGGGCTAATTAAAATGCAGAAGCAGAGATACGGTACGCAAGTTTTGCAAAAGCTTTCAAAACCAGCACATACAACTTTTAGGACCACTATTAAAGAATAATTGGAGTGAGTACAATGAAAAATGGATTGTATAGGATCGTTTCGAAGTCACCACAGTCAGCCTCTCAATTATATAGAAGGTTTTCCGGCATCAATTAAAAAGTTTGAGGAGCTCATTTGCGTGTATACGTCACTTTATTCTTTGAATCCGGCTTTAAGCAATGTTACACGATCATGATATTCAGATTAAAAAGTGAGGGTGATTAATGTAAGCTTTCCGGCATTCCATATCAGAGAAAAATAGCAAAGAGTTACACTTCCATTAACTCAATTGAGAAAGAAAACAAAAGCAAACAAAAGAAACTCACCCCGAGGAAAAGGACGGCGTATATTGGGGCCTGAAACAACTCAATACTAATCAAACTGAAGATATGAAGGTCAAATGGAAGAAATGAAATTCACGAATGCATCGTATACCCTTCCCAGGTTTCAGAATGATCAAAAGTGGAAACTACTGGGCAAAGGTAAAAATACCTTTGATAACTCGGCGAGTTGTAATGTTTATTTATGATTTATATAAAGTGCGCTGAAACGGGGGAGCTGAAAGAATAGACCAATAATCAAACTGTGGCGCAAACCTCTAAAAAAATCACCGCTAGCTGCCCTTCCTGGAAGCGCATGTAGCTACCCCATCTCATCTATTTCTGCCGCAACCCCAAAACAACAGAAAAAAAAATATAAGGAAGAAAGATTAACGATCCGCATACCAAAACATGTACACAAATATAGCTAATTCAATGTGTAACCATTGAATTCGATTCCCTACGTGAACTCTAAATCTATGAATCCTCCCTTACGCTTAGATCATGAGGAAGATTCCTTCAAACTACTCTACAAGAGGAAAACGAAAAAAAAACATGAACCGGCTTTGGATCATGTTTGGGAATGAAATGAAGCGAAGTTTGAGCAGATCTCTGAAAGTAAATCTTACGCGCGTGAAGCGAGTAGAAGATGGGAGCAGCAGCAGTGAGAAAGACCAATGTTTGGCTACTGTTACCAATGTAGATAGACTGCACGCTACTAACTATGTATGACAGCTAATCCAGATCTACTGACTTGTTGTTTTGCAGAATATGAAGTAGACTAAATTGAGTCGAACACAAGAGCTACCCCTTCCTTAAGTTCTGCGCACTGTACACCCCACCACTTTGTCACCATATAACAGTAAGTGAGGTCTCCATTAAAGGGTAAGCAGGGTCTCGGTATTGTAAGAGATAAAGAGCGTGGTGCCCGGAAAGCACAAGTACAGTCTCGTCCGAGGCCTGCAAGCGAGGCCGAAGCTTTGCACACAAACTGCCACCTTTGTAGGACAAATACCACCATTTTCCTCTTCCCAAATTGTCTAGTAAATAAACGAAATAGAAAAAAAGACATCGAAAACCCTCGACTAACATAAAGTAACATATGACGGAAACAGTCGCAGTCAGGGCCGATCTTCTTGATAGGAATAAAGTCGGTGACACACCCTAACCACAGCAACACGAAAGGAAGAATGTGTCCTGCATAAAGAACGGCCTGTGAGACCATTGTGAGCTCCTGAAAGTCGTTTCACTTATGCACACTCTATGTAACGAGAGAAGGTAAACCTGTGCATGCGAGGAGGTAAACAGGTTCAGATGCACCTTGACCCTATAGCAATATGAAGAAAGGTTCAGAGGTCCATTCAAACAATTAATACCGACGAATATAAATCCGAAATTTGGCTCTAAACAAATAATATGCAGGGAAACCTTTATCAATTAGCGAAATAAATATCACCACCAAGGACAAAACAAGATTGGCGTGACTGATAGCCCAGCCAGTTCTCTACTTTAAAACCTGCTCATATGAAAAGCACAACCAAAAAAAAACACACGGCGAATCTGAGACATTCAAGTGCTTATAACAAAAATGAGGGCTGACCGTTCAAGTTGCGTTTGCAAAACCTTGGACTGATGCAAAGTTCTGCTCCAAGTTGCAGTTTAGATGCGCAGGTTAGCCCCACAATACTACGGTAGTAGGTGGCACCTTTTCTTTGCTGGTGGCCCGGGGCCTAAATTTGTTGTCGTTTTAATCAGGAGTCTTTATTTTGCAGGATTTTTTTTTTATGAAACGAGGTTTTTGTATTTTGTTTGCATGGGTTGCGTGTGAATGTCGGTGTTCTCTTGTCGTGCGAGTCCTCCAAAAAGCTCGAAGTTTGTTGTTTTAAGGTAACTATGGGAAAGCCGAAGGGAATCCGTACGGCTCGTAAGCTAAAAATTCACCGTCAGTCACAGAGATGGTGCGATAAAGCCTACAAAAAGGCTCATCTTGGAACTCGATGGAAGTCTAATCCATTCGGAGGAGCATCTCACGCAAAGGGAATCGTTCTTGAAAAGATGTGAGATTTTACCGTGTTTTTTTTTCAAGTTGTGTTAGAATTTTTGATGCTCATCAAAAGCACTGGTTTCTGCTAGCATCTCTAGCTTTGCCAGCCGTCAAATTGAGCTAGATCAATTGATGTATAGCTTTGGGTGAGGTGATTGTTCAGACTACATTTGTCTCAATTGCGTGCATACATTTCCGTCATACTTTTCTTCCTCTTCTTTACGGTTTTCTTGAGTTTATACCTCCTATACATTAATATTGATTTCAGTGGTGTTGAGGCCAAACAGCCTAACTCGGCCATTCGCAAATGTGTCCGTGTACAACTCATCAAGAACGGCAAGAAGATCACTGCTTTCGTACCCAATGACGGTTGCTTGAACTTCGTAGAGGTTCGATTTTTCTTGTGCTTCATTTCTTTTCGATCAATTTGCGAAAGGCTAGCTTAGTGAGTCTATGTTGACCAGCCAGTACCCGCAAACAAGGAGTCCTTTGAAATACACATCTTCGTCCATGCTATTCTGTAAGTTGTGAACTAACAAACACGAAGTTAACAGCATTTTACCAGTCTGATTATCGTAAGTAGAAGATCCATTGCACCGTTGACGCTGCTCACGTTTTGCTACCGAGCTAGTGTTTTGTCTATCGGATCGCTTACTGCGACGAAATAAGAACAATTAGCGAAACATCAAGCCAAATAGGTTATGTGAGTAAAATGTAGATACAGCAGAACCTTTGTCGGAGGCGATTCCTTGAAAGGAAACATATCTACGGTGATGAACTAGTCACTCTCAGACACCTCGTTAGCCGTTTTTAAGGCTCTCCCTCTCTCTTCCTTAGTAACCTCACCCTTGACCTTCACTTGATTGTTTCCATTTGCTGCACCCTGGCCCCAAGGCAGTTTTTCCTTAAAACAACCATCCCAAGCTCTAGAGAAGATTTTAAACCATGGATAATAATTAGGAGCGGGACCTGACCGCGTGATCGAACAGATGAACGGGAGCATTTAGGTGTTTTGTCTTTATTGTTTAATGTTGCTGATGCAATTATGGGGATAAGAATAAAGGATCCCTGTATTTTTGGTATAGAATCCCTGTATTTTCTCACCTTTACCTCTTTTTTTGTTGCTGTCTCAGCAATAAATTACAATGCTACATTCAGTGTGTGCTATTGTACACATTCTCGTTTTGAAGCTCATCAAAAGCACTGGTATTTACTAGCACTTCTAGTTTTGCCAGCCGTCAAATTGAGCGATATCGAAGTGATGAACTTTTTTGGGTGAGACGAATGTGTGAATAACATTCGCCTCAATAAAGTTTACACATTTATTGGATCTTGATCTAGTTATAGTTCTTTTTTTATTTTTCTTCATTTATACTTACTGTTGTCAATTTAGGAAAACGACGAGGTGCTCGTATCTGGTTTCGGACGATCTGGTCACGCCGTCGGAGATATTCCTGGTGTTCGTTTTAAGATTGTCAAGGTCGCCAACACATCGCTTTCTGCCCTTTTCAAAGGCAAGAAGGAAAGACCACGTTCTTAAATGGTTTTTGTTATTGTTATATCCCAATCATAAATTTTGTTAAACCTTATTGTACTTGTACAACGAGTTTTCACGTTTCGTTATATACCTAATTACATGTACATAAATAGTTAGGATTATAAGTTAGTTTTGTTTCGCGGCTTCTGCGTTGTCATTCCAAAGGGCTTTTCAATGATTTGAGGGTTGTGCAGTAACTAGACAAAGCATACTCCCTTGTATAGTTGGCCTTTTCCATTAAGTCCACTCAATAACTTTGTTTTCGCATTTGGAATAGGGGTAGTACGAAAATGTTACCAATGATTGGGGACAAAGATAATTTGATTGGCAGTGTATGTGCGGATATCGGGATGCGCGCTGCAAAACTGGTCTGCGCCATACTATGCGATAGTATCTTGAAAACATAATCGAGATTGCGTTTTGGAGCTGCTCTACTGTAGACCGAGTCAATGGACCTTTCAGGTTCAGAGTTCCAGTGAATATCGCATTAAATAATACAATGGACTTTGGAACTCAGCCATCAAAGATGGCGTGTGGCACGAATAAGTTATCTGTAGTGCTGGTCACCGAGGTTTTTTTGTCAGTTGGCTCGACCCACAACTACAAGGCTGCCTCACACGTCTTGTGAAGTACTTGGACGCTATGTCAACCTACTAGAAAAATACTTACCGATCAATGAAAGCAGTTGTTAAGTACCTTAGTATGCTCTCACTCAATCTTATGAGATTGCTCGATGGAATTACAGTTACCTTGCCTTCCGTTTAATTCCTTTTCGTTATTTTTATGGATTTTGCGATACTGCCGACCAAACGCTTTCACCCTTATGACGTTGCCGACGTCGTTTGGGGAACACTTTTGAAATTCAATGACATCGAGGTTTTAACCCATAAAGCGTGGGAGAGATCATTTAGATTTCATTCGATCAGGTCAGGACAGAACGCAAATGCGAACAGCCTTCGATCTGATTAGAGTTGTAACTGTGGAGGTTACAAGCTTTCAGTTCGCTTATGCCTTTGAGTATATTCAGTTCAGATAGACGACAGTCTCCCATCGTTTCATTAACATTTCGCTAATGTATCCCGGTGTGTTGGATTGTTTTACACGATTTACGGTCATTTGGGTTACTTGACTGAATACTGGTTCACAATGGTTATAGTGGCAATTAGGACGCTATATTGGCCAAGTATTTGTCTACGCTAACGTAGTTCCCTCCCAAGTGGATACTTACGGGCCTATGGATTGGCCTGAAGGATAGACCTGTTTTGTGTGAGGGGTTTTTCGTATGGGATGAATAGGAGCCGCCGCTCGCTACCGGATCTGGGTCATTGAGTACCGATTGTGTCTCCTCCAGCAAATCCTCGCCATACGTCCATAGTGCTACTCATGACCCGCCTCCATATCAACCTCAGTAACTTGCTTGTCTTTCTTTCCTTCTTTTCTTTCTTTCTTTTCTATTATTTTTCGACGTCGCAGTGAAATTGATTACTGGATTCTGCCTGTATAAAATCATGGGAAACCTTAATTCTGGAGTCTGCTTCTTCGAGGGGGTGGGGAGTAAGTGATTGACGGAAATGGAGCAGCACTGTCTGTGATCCTTTCAGTCCTTCAAGCATGTCTGAGTTTTTATAGTTTTCTTTTTTCGATCATTTTATTCTTTTTCAATGTTTCTAGTGAGTGCATGTGATTTTCCCTCTGATGGCTGAAATGGTTGTACAAATATGGTTATTCATTTTTTGACGGAGAAGCATAGCCTGCCCTTACCCACACTCCCGATCGATGTCGCGACCGATATTCACATTGCTTATCGCAGTCGATTCTAGGATAACTTACTTTCCCTGAAATTTCCCCAAAAAACGTAAAACGCTGGTCATAACTGAGAAAGGTATCAGCCCACGGGAATTTCCATAGGGATCCTCTATCTACTCTCGTCTAAGAAGGGTAGTGGTTGAGACCGGTGATCGGGTAATCCAGGTTCGGGTTCGATCATGGATGATGCAATTCTGTTCTCATTTTTTCCGCATTCCAAAAGAAGACTTAATGATAAAGGCCTCATATTTTTTGATATATTTTTATAGATGCTTTGAAGGAGGTAGGGCCACTTCATTCTACGTTTTTTTT